GGCTTTATGGCTTCAAGACATGGGGAGAAGCCTGGCTCACGGTCCAGCTCTGTTGGCAGAGGGTGAGGAGCTGCGCGTTTCTGAGCCAGTCCTGACATCTCCCAGGGCTCCTGAGCCTGAAACCCAAAGACCCCTGCAAACACCACGCCTGCCCCAAGTTCACTGCCTGCACCACCCTCTCCAGCCCCCGGGTGCCCACCCTTCAAGCCTGGCATCCCCCCAGGTCCATAGACAAGGGGCAGATGCTGTGGGCTGGGCAGCCACTCCTGGAGGGCTTTCTAGGCCTGAGAGGCCAAGTTGGCTGAGAACACTCCTCCCTGGAAGCTGGGCCCAGGGAAGAGCTTCCCGGCCCTTTCCTCCTCAGTCCTCTTGGCCCTCGAGGCCCAGGACACCGTCCTTTGACAGATGGGGAAACTGAGGCCCGAGGCCGTGAGCACTAGGTGGCAGGATGACCTGGTGCTCCGACTGCTGCCCTGGGCTGAGCACAGGAGGAAACGCTGAGGGCGTATGCTGCTCCGCTAAAGCAAAGATGTCATCGTCAAAACTCACCATCTCTTGCTCATGTGCTCCTCATCCATTCATCTCAACCACATGCAGAGAAAGTGCTCAACTCCACGTGTTGGGAGCAGAACAGTAAACAGATTGGATCACATGGATTAAATAAACAAAGAGAAAGAAAATGCCTCAATAATCCTGCCCCTTCCTAATAATAGTCTAGTGCACATTTCCCAGACTGTTTAGTGCAACTAAAACACGTCTGTATCAGTCAGGGTGCTGCAGAGAAACGGAACCCGTCGGATGTACAAAGACACACGCATAAGAGGAGACTTATTATGGGAACTGGCTCAGGCGGTTATGGAGGTGAGAAGCCCCACCATCTGCCATCTGCAACCTGGAGACCCAGGAGAAATTCAGTCGAAGTCTGAAGGCCCGAGAACCAGGAGCTCCGATGTCTGAGGGCAGGAGAAGACGGACGTCCGAGCTCAAGAGGACAGAATTCTCCCTTCCTTCCCCTTTTGTTCCATTCATGCCACCAGAGATCGGATGACGCCCATCCACATAGGAGAGGGGCAGATGTTCACTCCGTCCACTGTCCACTGATTCGAATGCTAATCTCTTCTGGAAACACCCTCACAGACACAGCCAGAAATTATGTTTTACCAGCTATCTGGGCCTCCCTACGCCAGTCAAGTTGACATAAGATTAACCATCACAATATCATATACAGATAATACATAAAATGACACTTCAATAATCGTTTTGTTGCAGAATTGGGATCATACTAGGTTAGTAAGCTTGAGCTGCTGTAACAAAACACCACAGACATTTGCTTCTCACAGTTCTGGAGGCTGGAGGCTGTGTCGGGTGCCGCACGGTGGGTTCTGGTGAGGCCTCCTCCCAGTCTGCAGATGCCCTGCCTGCTGTGTCCTCAAACTGCAGGACAGCGAGACGGCGCTCTTCCTCTCTGATAAGGACACAGCTTGATCCGATCAGGCCCCTCCCCTGGCCTCATTTAACCTTGGTTGCTTCCTAAAGACCCTCACAGGGGGGCTAGGGCTTCAGCGTGTGACTGGGACACAATTCAGTCCACAGCACGTGCACACTGCTCACACATGCTGTGTCTTGAGCACTTTCCGTGTCAGGACGGAGCTCTCTCCCTCTGTGACAGCTGTCGAGTGCACACTGCAGGGATGTGCCTCCATTTACCCATTTGATCCCCCTAAACCATTCCACAATGAATACCCATGGAGACCATCATTGTGCTTCCAGCTCTTCCTGGAAGTGGGGCTGCTGAGCTTTGAGTCAACACACGTGATGGGACACTCTCAGGCTGTTTCTGTGAAGGCTCTGCAGGCAACGACCAACGATCCCACTGCCCACCAGCCCCAGCAACCTGCTGTGATGTCATTCTGGTCAGAGGACAGTAAATCCCGGGAGGCTTCCTGGAGGAGGTGCTTTGAGAGGAGAGAAGAGGTCTGTTGGTTTACACCAAGGGTCTGTGGTGAGGAACAGCCTGGAAGGTGGAGGAGGAGAGAAGAGCTACAAGTCATAACGAAGAGAGAAAGTCAGGGGAGGTCAAAGGGGAGGAGCGGCTAAGGGACACTTCTCAAAACTGATGGCATTCACATTTTACCTGGAAAGTGCAATACACCAAGAAAAAAATGGATGGATATACTCCACATGTTAAGTTTAATTGAGAATATGAAAGTATTTTTGAGAACCCGTTGTCGTACTTATAATGTGTATTTCCTACTCTCTTCAAAAATGAAAACAAAAATATCCCAAAGCCCCAGACAGCAAATCAGCCGCTCTCCTGTGGGCCTGGCCTGGCCTGGGGCACCGAAGTTGACAAGGCCCAGAGAGGGCGGGGTTGGGAGGAATGGAAGCACAAGCCCGTCCCCTGCCCACATCCTTCGGAAGCAGACCCCGCAGGCTGTGAGGGAGCCGGCCGACAGCGACCTGAGGCCGGGACCCAAGGCGTCAGACACAGGCGCAGGCCAGCTTCCCCCACGCGAGCAGCCCTCACCGAGCCCCACAGGAGACACACCTGGGGTGGATCGCAGAGCCAGGAAACAGCACATCGTGCCACAGACCGGAAACAGTGCCTTTTCTTTGCCTGTTCTTCTACCAGACATCGCTGTGATTTGTGCTTAAAAACCACACCAGCACACACAGCTGAGTGTGGCTGAGGGGATCAACAAGACGGGCAACTGTCTCAACGCGCGACATCGGGCGACGGTTTTGTAAAATGTCACCATCGGGGGAATGGGCTAAGCACACAGGGATTGCTGCATTATTTCCGACAGCTGCAATCATCTCAGTAAAAGCTCAACAAAACCTCCCACGGCAGAGGCTGGGGCCCAAGCGCCCCCTGCAGAGACAAGGACAGACACTGTCGCCTCTGGTTGAGGCTTCGCAAATGGTGCCTTTGGGCCAGATACTCCTCCCTGAGCTGTGGCCGCTGCTGCCAAGGAGAATCAGGGCCTCTGGTGGCCGCTCCCTCCTGCCGGCTGCGCTCACAGCAAGAAGACTTCTCCAGGGCCCCCTGTTCTCTGGGGTGCAGAGGAGCACAGAGGCCGAGAGCCCACAGGGAGCTTCCTGGAGGATTGCTGCCGTGTCCCCCCCGGCCAGCTGTCAGCCCGGCCCCTGCGCACCGACACGCACACACGGCTCCTGCTGGACTCTTTGGTCATCTCTCCTTGGGGCCGCCCTACCCTGGGCAGGGATTCTCCAGGGGGCCGGGAGGGTCACAGTCCGAGGGAGCACCATCTTCACCACAGCCCTCTATCTACGTAACACATGACAGAAAACAAAACGCAACAAACGGGGGCGGATGGAGACCAAGCCTTGGAGGGGGGAACGATGCCGGGGCGTGGGGGAGGGGCGGGACTGGCTGTTCTACGCTGCTCAACAGGGACATAGATCTCAGACCAAAGGGGAAGGCGTCCCACTGTTGCGGGGGCATCTTGCCTCCCACCTGAGTTCCCTGCGTGCCTTTCCCTGAGCTGAGCCTGTAAACGCTGACAATAAGGCAACATCCCTTCTCCCTTTCCTTGGCCCCAACCCCGTCCTCCCACATGCAGGATCATGTCAACCCCAAAAGAGCCTTAGGGTTTCATGTCATTTGCTTCTCTTCCTGGGAAGAGACAGGAGAAGGAAGAACCCAACCTGGGCAGACAGTTAATAAAGAACTTGCCGAGTCGAGAGAAAGAGAGCCAACCACCACGTTCCTACATTTTTGCAGAAGCCACGAACGGGGGCTGCTTACAAAGTACCAATGGGAACTCGCCCTTCCTGCCTCAGGCCCACGTGGGAGGACTGCTTGCCAAACCTCCCGGAGTCGTGCCCACGCCTGGCCCACGAGGCGTGGCCAGTGCCCTGACAGGGAGGCCTGAAGGATGACTGCGGGCACGTTCCCTTAACCGTTTCGACTCGGTAATCCTGAAGCTGAGACGGCTCAGGTGTGTCTCAGGAGGCGGCCTCCCACAGCTGGGCTGGGCAGGATGAAGTCACCCCTCTCCAGCCAGCTCGCAGGCCCCGAACTGCAGCAACATGCCTGCTGCCCACGGCCGTCGCAGGGAACACATTCCTCTCCTTGCAGGGCTGAGTCAGCAGGTCACAGCTGGCGCCGCTGCAAAGGGTGGTGGGAGCAGGAGTCTCCGAGGAATGCCCGCCCCCCCATGCCTCGCTCAAGCCAGCTGCTCTGGAGCCCCTCCTGCCTCTGCGCCGACCCTAACTCGGCCTCAGGTCGGCACCAACCACGGCTCCTGCAGACACTAGGTCAGAGGGGAGGAGTCAGCGAGCAGCCAAGAGCAGCCCACCCAGCCCCACGGGGTGCCTGTGCACGCTGGCAGCGCCTCACCCCAGGCCGTGCTTGCTCTCTGGATAAGGGGGCACGGTGACAAACACCAACGCCGTGGGTCACGTGGTGGTCGCTTCACCGCGTGGGGTACGCAGTAGGAAATCTGCCAAGCCCAGATACTGACCCGTTAGAGCAAAGGTTTGGGTAATGCAAATTCCACAATGATCCTATAGTTGTGTATGTTTTGGTTGGGAACGCAACGCTAACATAGATGTTCCCGGGGTCTGAGAACTAAGGAAGCTGCACCGAAGGCTCTGATGTGGAGGCAGCAGGTTGCCTGGCCCATTGCAGAGCCTTTGGTTTTATAAGGCAACCGCAACAGGCGGGTGCCTGGCTGGTGGAGCAGCGCCCAGCCGGTCCTCTCCCCGTGGAGGGAGCAGTGGCCTGAGCAGAGCGTCCACTGTGCCTCCGGCAGGAACGAAAGTCCAGTGCTCTACAGAGAGGGCAGAAAGGAGAGCTAAGTACCCCGTGTTTAAGTGACATGAAGGCCTGGCCTGCTGGCCCTGGCCAGAGTCAGGGCTTCGCGCTCGCTCTGCTCTGGGTGGGAAGGTCCTGGCAGCCCTGCTGACCCAAGGCTCCTGCCGGGGCCAGCAGTGGGGCTGAAGTGCGGTGCTCGCCTCTCCTCCTGGCGAGTGGGACTCATCCTCGTCACAGGCACCATATCAATGTGATGGAGAAGGACATGTGGGCCGGCAGGCGACACCGCCATGGGGCAGGCCTGAGAGCAGGGAGAGGAGGCAAACTGTCTGCAGGTGACGAGCCAACGTGACCAGGTGATCAGCATGTGGCTCTCCTCTGTCCCAGCTGGGTCTCCGGGAACCCCACCCCCGTGCCCCCTGTCTCCCAGGGGAGCCACCGGAACACATGGGACGGCATGGGGGCAGCGTTCAGAACACCTCTGAGCCTGGACCACCCCCTGAGGACGCACCCCCAGCCGTCTGACTGGGGACGTGGAGCTCCCACTGAGCCTTTGGAGAAGTGACCCTTCTTTCACCCCAGCGCCTGGCGCCAGACCCCGCCCACCCAGAGCCTCCCCCTACGGCCTGGGGCCTGGCCTTTCTCCTCCTCCAGGGTCCGGGCGGCTGGCAGCCGCCTTCGGCTCCGGCCTTCCTGACGGGGTCCGGTCCTGGCCGCCCCCGGCGCAGAACAAGCACGGGAGCAGGTGCTGTGCGAGGCGCCTCCGGCTCCTGCTGTGCAGGCTGGTCCAGGGAGCTGCCCCGTGAGCTGGACGCACGGAAGCAGAGCCAGCGCGGCACGACGGAACCTGCATTCACGAGACCTGGGGCCACACAGCAGCAGGCAGTCCATGTGGAGCGCTCCCATACCTGTGTCTGACCCCACCCTCCTCACCACTTTGTCTGGAGGGAAACTGAGGCTGGAAGTGGGGGTCCTCCTGCGTCTACAACGCCATGCCGCCTTTGACCTTGAACTTCTGTGTCCCTCTCCCAAAACACCTGGGCCACCTTGGACAAACGGGCCCTCCCAGCTGGTTTCCGTGCCCTCCTCCGAGGTCTTTGAGAGGCAGACGCCTGGCAGGAGGGTGTAACGGGCGGAGACGAGGTTCTGCGTCAGACTCTGGACTCAGGACTGCACTTAGAAAACTCTTAGCTTCTACTGACAATAAACTGCTGAGGAATCAATCTTCTATATTTTGACACCTCAAGTCTGAATTTATTTCCAACAATATCTAAACATACACACTAAAAATTAATTCACACTTTAAGGTAACATTTTTGGCCAACGTGTTCTGAGAACAAACACACACTGCATAAAGACGGCTTTCACAGGAAAAAAGGCGCTAACCCACCACTGTTCAATTACCTAGAAATCCTCCGGGAAGCGATAAACAGCCTTAGCAGTTCCTTGAACAAGGCACATTCAGAGTTTACCAAAACTTGGATTAACTCTTTAAAAAATTACAACTACTATTTGGACATGACAAACGTCCATGGAGACCTTTTTAATCCAATGCCACAGTTTTACTTTTTAATTCTGGGTGCAGGGTTGGGCGCTCGGCTAAAGATGACATGTGCCAAAAAGCTGAAGCAACAGGCCAGCCAGCACGAGTGCCTCCGCCGGCCTTCCTCGGGCCTCGTGCGCAGGCCGGAGTGCAGTGGCGGGGCCTCCCACAGGGGCCCGAGGGGTGGGCAGTTTGTGCGGTCCAGGGCGGGATGCACAGGAGTCTGCCTTCGGAGATGGGAGGATGCACGCTCGAGGGCGCACCCTAGCCTACCCTCTCGAGCTCCCCATCTGAGGGAGGCATCTGCAGGGAAACTGAGGAAGAAATGAGCGCTGGCCGTGGGCAAGGCAGCGAGACACAGCTGAGGAGGCGATTTCGTGGAACAAGCCACGAAGGGGCACGGGGAAAAGCCACATGCAGAGTCCTCCAATGGTTCTCCTAAAAACTAAAACTAAAACAACCAAAAGACAAAAACTGCCAGCACCATTCTTCCCTTACAGTCAGCAACTCTCACTGGCCCTGAGGGCCCACGTGGTCAGGACGCAGGCCGGAGCTGAGCAGGAACGCAGCTGACCCCACTGAGAACCCAGCGAGCTCACACACAAGCCTGGAGCCTCAGGGCCATGCCGTCTGGTCAGGAATCCGTTTCATCTTTTGTCTCCATCTCTGTGCTATGAATAACATGCTGGGAGAAACCCATCATTTGTTTCTGCAGACATTCCTCTGGCTTTAGCTCCCCCCATCCCTGACCGCGAAGACACGAATCCAGCAAAGCCAGTCAGAATGAACTTGCCATATCAAAACCAGCATTAACGACTTTCTATACAACTTTTAGATAAAAAAGAACAGAAAATACAAGAAAATAAATCTTCTACATAAAGCTGTGGTATGAAGTTAAATTCCCCAAGTCAGAAAATCAACTCTGACACCCTACTCTGAGCTGGGGGCACGTGGCACACATGAAACCAAATGGACAGACACAAACCGACACTAATTCCAACGACACGCGTGCACCCAATGCCGACACTGACGGGACTGCTTTAACTCTCGTTCTTATGGACTTTCTTCTTATAAATACGTTAGTGGTCAAGCAGCTCTATTTTCTTTGATCCGTTTTATTTCCCAAACATGATGAAATGAAGAACCCGCCCCCAGATGCATTTGCCCCTGATGTAAAAAAGCAACACTAGGTCTCCAGCCTGATAAAGGGCATTCACGAAAACCCCCCAGCAAACCTCACACTCAACGGTGAAAGACTGGATGCTCTCCCTCCAAGATCATGAACAGGACAAGGAGTCTGCTCTGCTACTCGACATTGCACTGGAGGTTCTAGCCAGGGCAGTCAGGCAAGAAAAAGAAAGGAAACACATCCAAGTGGGAAAGGAAGGAGTAAAACTATCTCTAGGAGCACAATTACTGGGTCACATGGTAACTCTATGTTTAACCTTTTGAGGAACTGCCAAACTGAATTGAACACATATGTCTACACAGAAACTTGTAGGTGAAGGTTCACAGAGCATTACTCACAACAGCCGAAAGGTGGAAACAACCCAAGTGTCCATCAACTGAGGAATGAATAAACAAAATGTGGTCTATCCATACAATGGAATAGTATTCAGCCATAAAAAAGGAATGAAGTACTGACACCTGCTACAACATGGATGACCCTTGAGAACATGATGCACAGTGCAAGATGCCAGTCACAAAAGATCACACATTGTCTGACTCCATTCATAGGAAGTATCCAGAACAGGCAAATCCAGAGAGACAGAAAGCAGATTAGTGGCTGCTGGGGGCTAGGGGAGACTACGTAATGGGTTCAGGCCTTCTTTTTGGGGTGAGGAAAATGTTCTCTAGTTGATTGTGATAATGGTTGCACAATTCTGTGAACATCCTACAAACCACTGAATTGCACACTTTCAATGGGTGAATTATATGATTATGAATTATATCTCAACAAAGTTTATTAAAAAATAAATAAAATGGTTCCTTCGAGCTTTGGGGGAACAAAAAGAAACACCAGGTCCCCAGACTGAGTGGCACGGAGCTTCTGCAGGTGCTGCAGTCTCAGAACGTCATTTCAGAACTAGAGATCTATGAGGGATTCTTGCTTTTTCTCTACTTTTAATCTATTTTCTTGCCCCCAATTAGACTACAATCAGCATTAATGAACTAAAGCCTGAAAGTTCTCGCCTCCACCACACCACCTAGTTCACGCCTTGCTGTATACTGGTAAGTTCACATTCTCCATTTCCAGACAGGCTCACCTGGACCAGTTCCCAGGACCAGGGGGACAGGAGCTGGCACCCCGAGGCCCCGGGACCACTGTCTGGGAGACCTGGCTGACCGCTGACATTGGGGAGGGCCCGAAAATCACCAGTGAACTGGTTTGTAATGCGTTTCTGAACAGAGTGGCCATCCGTTTTGGTTGAGGGCTCTTTTTTCTCCTGTTTTGGATTGCTTCCGTTTTTGTTACAAACTTGGAGCTTTTGGTCATTCCAGACTGTTCCGTCCTGGCTTCTGGGCAGGTCTCTGAGGTGACAACCGTGAGGGCCAAAGGCTTTGCAGGAGGAAGGAGCATGTCTGCCTTTATGTTCAGTTCATGGGAAGAGAAGCAAGTGGCAAAGCGAACCTGCTAATCACCGTGGCTTCAATGATGTGTCACACAAACACGGACCTCGCTTCTCAGAAGCTCTTGGTAATCTGCCAATATTATCTCACTAACTCTAATGGCACCTTTATCAGATAAGCAACTGGCAAGTAAAATTATCATTTTGTAGAAGGCAGAAATTAAGATGACATAGTAAGAGTTGACACAAGCCCGAAGGATTATCCGAAAACAAGAGATTAGCACTTGTCCATGCTGAATTCACCATTTTAGTGAAGTTCTGTCACCTCAGGCAGCCAAGAGCCCGTGCTCACCCCTCATGCCCATGGAAAGCAGTATCCACTCAGCCTCGCTGCCGCCGAGACTCTCCTTCCTTGCAGCCTGTGGACACGAGGCCTCGCTGCCCATGGGGCAGATATGACGAGCAGCCCCTGCCGACAGTCCTCGGAGACAGCTGAGTGAGAACAAGCGCAGAGAACAAAGGCACAACCAAGACCTAACTGGACAGCGAGGCAGCGAAAACAGAGGCTGCAGCCAAGCAGATAAGCCCAGGGACGTGGCCAGGCTTGTTCTCGGGCCACTTCTCACATCTGTGCTCAAGTTCCGAGGCTGGAGGCTGGAGGGTGGAGGCTTCCGGCGGACTCAAAGTCGTGCGGATACAGGTCGAGCCAGAATCACACATAGGATGTGCATGTGTCTAAATCAGACCATTTTACCCTTCCAGGTTCTGCTCTGGATTCAAGGAAACTATTCTTTCCGGTACATTATTAGAAAATCATACAGTCTACAATGAACTAGAAGGTTCTGCACTCTCTGAGTTGTGGCCTGGGTATTTTCTAGTAATCACCTTGATTAATACAAGTCTAGTACGTGCTGACTCGCTTTGCTGAGAGGTGTCACTAACTCCCTCGAGCACACGGGGGCAAAGCCACAGAGTCTTTACTCATAAATTAATTCTGAACAGCCAATTTATCCTCAAAAGGTGATTTAACCTTTAATGCATTAGGAAGAAGTAATTTTAAAACTAATTTTAATGAAAGTAAATTAACTTTCACTATCTTCCCTATCTTGCTGAACTT